AATAATATCTACTTCTCTACTTATATTTCATATCTACTTATTTTCTTATTCTCCAATCTCCATTATACTTTACTATTTAATTCTTATACAATTATTATATCTACTTATATATTAATTATCTACTTACATCTACTTAATATATAGTTTATATATTAAAGTATTAAATATAAGTGTATTACTCATCTTATAGTAGTATACTTATATATTATATACTATAAACAATATATTATATATTAGTTACACTTTAATTAATATCACTTAAAATCATTCTATTACTCATTTACTCCCATCAATTACTATACACATTCATACATTTGTCTTATTACTTACATTTTGTATTAACATTACTTGATTACCTAATTAGTATTCCCACTAATTGTTACATTTTTCATTATACTAGTTAATTAGTTAATTAGTATTCTTGTTACATTTTTTATTATACTAGTTAATTATTTAATTAGTATTCCCATTAATTGTTACATTTTTCATTATACTAGTTAATTAGTTAAGTAGTATTCCCGTTAATTGTTACATTTTTCATAATACTAGTTAATTAGTTAATTAGTATTCCCATTAATTGCTAAAACAACTCTACTTTAAAAAACTAGTTAATTGTCGTTATAGTTAAAGTCACATTATAATAGTTTGAATTTATATTTGAACGAAAAAATAGTAGTTCAATCATTTAATTAAAGTACTTAACATTTTACTAAAGTAGTTTTCACTAAATTAAAGTATTTGAAAAGTTGCTATAATTTAATTACTCACATTTTAGTTAAAGTCACACTTGTTAGTTTTAAGTATTTATTAAAAAATACTATTGATTAGTTCGAATTTTAAATTGTATTTTAGAGTCACACTTTAATTCACTACTTAATTAAAGTACTTCGCACTTTGTTAAAGTAGTTTTCACTAAATTAGTTTGAAGTTTTAATTAAAATAGGTTTAATTAATTGCATTACTTTTGTATTCATTAGTATATTTGTTGCAAATTAATAATTGTTACATTTTTAAGATGGAAGGTGGTAGATATTCGGTTGATTTGGGTAAGCTCGAGCGCAACCGAAGGAACGAGATTGGGAGGAAGAAATCCTGCAAAGGTAAAGAACTTGCCGGCTCTTCATCTCAAACCCGAGATGATTTTGAAACGGGTTACCAAAGGAGGGATGTAGATGCGATGTCCAAAGAACAACTACAACAAGAATTGGCCCGACATAATAACCGCTTTCTACAACAACAACGAATCCTGACGACCATTGACGAAGATGAGTTTGAGGATGAAGATGCGGAGGAAATGGAACCGGAGACGGCCGAGGAGGAGGGTGGCGGCAGCCACGACGCCGACGAGCTTGCCTCATCCCAAACCGCCACCGGTAATAAAAAAAAGTAAATCTGAACTAATGAAAAATAATTTTGATAAGTGGAAGGACGCACAAACCAAGTATTGGCACGCAACTTGCAAGTGGTGCAACAACAATTATAGCTTGGGGACCTCCGGCGGATACGAATCCGCCGCAAGGCATCTTAAGGCAAAGCACCCTGTGGAGTATGCAAAATTAGGCGGCGGAACGGGGAAGCAAACTCAAATATCGAGGTTTGCGAATTCTCAACCTTTTGGTAATTTCTCATACAATGATGCACAAAATTTGACTGGTATGGCTAACTTAATTTGTGAAGAAAATTTGCCTTATATGTTTTCTGAAAGTCTTGCTTTAAGAGATTATGCATGCGGTAGTTTAAATCCTCAATTTAGAGGTTATAGTCGCAAAACTGTTAAGAAAGAAATTATAAGGCTTTATAAAGCGGAAAAGGCAAGGTTACAAAATTTTTTTTGCAAACTTTGATGGGCGTGTTACTATTTGTTCTGACATATGGGAGGATGATTTTCATCATTTAAATTATTTGGGTCTGACTGCACATTATGTTGATGAGGATTGGAATATGCATAAACGTGTTCTTGCTTTTCGTGAATTTAATGATCGTCACACCGCTGAACATATTTATATTTTGATTGAGCGTATTTTAATTGAGTATAATTTGATTGATAAGGTGTTTGCTATTGGTTTCGATAATGCTACTAATAATACTGCTGCTATACCTAGATTGCGTGAATTGTGTGGTGCCAATACTTTGATGGGTAGATTTTTCATCAACGTTGTGCATGACATGTTATAAATTTATGTGTGCAAGACGGTCTAAAAGCGTTAGGAAATGCTATGAAGGTAGTTGGGGGGGGGGGGGGGGGTTAGACGTATTTGGGGTAATGGTCAACTTAGATTAAAATGACAAACTTATTTGACTGAAAGAGGTGTGAGATATGTTGCTTTTCCTAAAGAATTGAATATTCGTTGGAATAGTACTTATAAATTATTTAAAGTTGTTCTTAGATATAAAGAACATTTTTCTGCTTTTTTAAAACAACATGATAACTATATTATAAATTCGGCTGAGATCGACACTTGCGAAAAAATTTGTAATATTTTGAAATATTTTTTTAATGCCACTGAAACTTTTAGTCATGTTTATAAACCTACCGCAAACCAATTTATTCGTGAAGCTGTTAATCTCGCCGGTGCTTTTAAAGGATTTGAGAATGCCGTTTACGCGAGTTATTTTTGTGATTTTATGAAGGAAAAGTTTTTAAAATATTATGCACATATTCCGCATATTTATGGTATTGCATTTATTCTCGATCTTCGTTTTAGACTAGCTAATTTGGAAGATTGATTCAACTTCTATTATCTTGCTTTTTTTGGTGAATTTCCAATGTATCATGATAACCCCATAGATCCGAAAACGGAATACAACGAGGTTAGTGCTTTATTTTACGCCTTATTTAATGAGTTTCATGCACAATATGACAACGCACCCCCTCCCCCGACACGAACATCTTCATCTAAAGGAAAATCAATTTTTAAATCTGCATTTGGCAATCTTATGAAAAAAAACTAAAACAACTCACGTTACTGAACAAAGCGCAATAAATGAGATTACTTTGTATTTAACATATGAAGTTGAATTTGAAGAAAATGATGACTTTGACGTTCTAAACTGGTGGAAGTCAAAAGAAAGAACATTCCCGATTTTAGCACAATATGTAATTTGTTTAAACACTTATACACCTATTTTGTAACATTTGTAAATTATAAATCAAACCACTTTTCTAAGTAAAAATAGCTTTACTTAATTCATTAAATTAATTAACTTATTTCACAATATGTATAATTTTCAAATAAAAAATATTTTAAAAAATTAAAAAAAAAACAGCTCCCAAACGGCTATATAGCCGTTGGGGCTTTGGGTGGGGGGCGGGGGGGTCCCGGGGGTGGTGGTGTGGGGAGTGGGGTTCAAAAAAATCTATAAATACATCTATTTTCTAACATTTTTCTACACCTCTTCTCCAACTCTTCCCCATCTTCATCTTCTCTTATTATCCTACATTCCTACTTATACATCTACCATTTTAAAGATAAAAAGTAAATCTTCCCCTTATGCAAAACAATTTTGATAAGTGGAAGGACCCGAAGACCGGACTGTGGTGGACAACTTGCAAGTGGTGCAAGAAAGAGTGTAGCTTGGGGCGTTCACATGGATACATGATGCCAATAAAACATATGAAGTCCTGTGACAAAGGCAAAACAACAACCAACGGTGGCGGAAATCCCAATTGATATTTATTAGAAAATATATTTCATATTGTTATTTTTTCTCAATTCTCAAATGTAGTTCCTATTTCAAATAAATGCACTTGAACTTTGTTTTTAATAAGAATTTGTATAATCTACAATTAAAAAAATTAAATATGACCTGGCCCGGCCCGGCGGGTGGCCCGACCCGTGACCCGGGCGGGTGACCCGGCCCGAACCGGCACCGGCCATAGCCCGGGCCGGTCCCGGGCCTACCTCTAACTAACCCGAGGCCCGACCCGGCCCGGGTCCATCACTAATAGCATATGTTGCTGGAGTTTGCTTTGGAGAAGAATAAAAAGGAAATATAAAAAGGTAAAATGTCAGTAACTTACTATAGGAGGTTGTTGTCCGGTGATATGGTTCATTTGATTGTTTTTTGTTAGTAAATGTATCAATGTGATGGATTTTTTAGTACGTGGGCTTAAACGATTGTTTCGCAATAGTATGCGGGCTTATTTGATCCATTTTCCTATTCATAAAAAGAACTAGAAAAACGTGTTGAATGATAATATTACTAATAATAAAAATATAAGTAATATGTAATATATGATCAAAATAATGATATTTGCGCAAAAATGTGATTCAATAACTTTTAAGGACTTTTGCTTTTTGTTCATTAATTTTATTATAGTATTCCGTAAACCGTAATACTTGATATAAAACCTCTAATAAAAGTGATAATAGTAAGGACATTGCATATTGGTAATGGTAATAATAAAATATTATAATAACAATAATAATAATGTAATACGGAGTACTTCATACATAGTATACTACCTAATTAATTATATAAATTACAAAGAGAATCATCACATAAGGTCATATACTCAATAAAATGTCATATAAATACGTCTACTTATAAAAAGCAATCAGATGAGTCAAAATGACGAGTTGACAACCTCCTAAGTGAAAAGATGACAATATGGCCCAAGTATCAAGTATGATTTTGGATGGCATTATTTACTCCTATTTAGAAAATCGCTTTATTAATTATTTTCACCCCTATTTAGAGGAATTTCTATGTAAGAGCTGAGCCAGAAGTGGCCAGAACCAAGACCGAGTACTCAATCATATGCAAATTTGTTTATGATTCAATGAGGATCGTACTGCCCGATTCTGGTCCTCAATGCCTAAAACATTAAACATGTACGGAGTATAAAATTGATCCAAAACCAGACTGAACGACGGTATAATGCATGCATGACTAGTAAGCAACAATTCTTGTTAAGGTTCCGTCCCACAATTAAGGATCACCGCAACAATTTTTCCCGACGTCATCTTTTTTTTTTCTTGAGTGACTTCATACACAGAATACGCAACAATTCTTGTTAAGGTTCCGTCCCACAATTAAGAATACACAAAATATATTACCACAGACTATTTTTTAAAGCCATGGGCAATAGCTAGCAACAGACTCTTAGGTCAATTACCAATGCAAGCCAAGTGTCTAGTTCCAACTACTGTAGGGTGGAAATTCTTAGAACACAGACTACAAAGCATTTAATCTATACAATAAATAGGCGCTATATAATCCATCCTAATTTGATGTTCTAAAACAACTCAAAGCCATCTGTTTTTAGCTCAAATAGAGAGAGAGAGAGCAGTGAGAGCATCTGTTAGTCACTTTTCCCACCACTAACTTAAGTTAAGTTACTGCACTAGTTAATTTCATTAGTACTTACTGAACCAGACAGGTTAACAGTAGATGAGTAGAACCAAAGATGTTGTGATTGCTATCAGAGGAAGAAGAAGATATACAACTGCCCGGGCACTAGCATTTGGCAGGTAGGGATATAAATCTGGTTGCGGCATCACACAGTTGTCACCATTGAAGTAAATCCTCCGAGGGAATGCCCACCCTTTTTCGAAGGTGAACTTTGACTTATCCTTCTGGAAGATCATCTCTGATTGTACATTACCGAAAGGCCCAGCTTGCATAAGTAGATCATTGTAAAACTTGATTCCCCAGAGCATGGCAGTGTCATCTACAACAAATCAACTTGATTAGATGTCTAACATGTGAAAAACATGCAGATTATATTAGGGTCCATAGGGTAATTATTTGGAAGATGTTGCTGAATTTTCTAATAGGAAAAGCATGGGGTAAAATTTATTTCACTCAAATAAGTCAAATGCTGCTTGTTCTGATTATTCACCTCTGACACCAAGAATGAGCCAATTAGTCAGACAATATGGGCCTTATGGATTGTTTGGTTAGAAATTTTAGGGCAGGATGGAAGGGGAGGAGTGATACTTATTTTTAAATAATTTCTATATATTACTGGTTTAAATAAATTGGGATAGAAACAATATGTAGGAGTAAATGATCTAACTGAGCATATAGCTATTTCTAATTCAAAAACAACAAATAGTTATGAAATTAGTCTTCCCCTTCCCTTACTCCGAAATCTCCAAACCAAACAAGCCCTTAGCGTTGCTGAGAAGTTAGTTTACTTATGGATTCATATGGCATTATTGGCTGGTAGTTGAAGCTGAAAATCTGTGTGAGATTGTCGAAATTCGGGTGCTGAATGACAAGATTCCAATTTGAATAGTTCATTCTGTAATTGAAATTTGTAACAGTGACCTTCACCCTCCAGTACGCTTTATAGTTGATCTTAATGTGCCAATGGATTCGGATGGGACACATATGATCAGTACACTGGATCAAAGGTGCCAAATCATTCCTTCCTGAACTTGAAGTTGAAAGTGCTGTAGGCACATAAGTAGATCCCGGTCTGTAAGCATTAGAAACCATGAAATCCATGTAACACTATGTAACCCGGGACATGTCTATAAATTTTGTAAATATAGTCCCTTAAGTGTTACTGCTCTGTACAATTTAAATGCCGTTAGGTCTTGTTTGATTCAAGGGTTTCAGAGGAATGGGGAGGGGAGGGGTGATGTGCATTTATTTTTGAATAATTTTTACATTTAGATGGTTTGCAATAAAGTGAAGATGAAAATGCTATATAGAATTAAATGATCTAAGTAATTATATACGTAGTAGTTATTTCTAGCCTAAAATTAACAAACAGAGATACATTAGTAAAATAAAAATCAACTCTCTGATTCCCTTGGTCTCTCTGGTTAACATAACCGAAAAATATGGAGGGCATTATCAACAATCTGAATGGTGATTATAATGGGAAAACTAATTGTGTCTCAATTATAACAATTGAGAGGCTAAGTTTACAAAAGCCTAACGACTGGTTCCGGATTGCATAACATGAAACAAAAGAGACTAAAATTGTGATTTTCCCCTCAAGATTACTATAGTTAAAGCTCTTACCTTATGCAAGTCCCGGGTTGATTTATGTTGTTTTCACAGCCACAAGTACAAGTGGGGCAGTGGATGATTGTATCATTGTAGAAGGAAGACATTGATACACAGCAAGTTGGCGTCTTTTGTGCCAAGAATTGTGAATAGGTGCATGTCACTTTCCATGTCACTGTAATATAAGTAAACAATAAATTGGCAAGTGAAATATGTGCAGCTCACAGCCCTGTTATGAACTTCTGTGGAGCTGATAATTTCTGAATGAGTACACTTGTGGAGACATTTTGAATCCTTCAAAATATATTGTTTACAAAAACAACAGGGACGGTCTCAAGACTCAACTTTTATGTTATGGGCAACCATAAAGTTTGCATATTTACCTAAGGCAAGAACCCAAAAAAACTTATGTGCATCAAATTGGATCCGATTGGAACTAGGAAAATGCAAGGGAAATAAAATTTGGAGAAAATATGGAAGGAAATGAAATATGGTGCAAAACTAAAACCGGTTCAAACTCAAATAATCAATTCTATATACTCATTTTCACTACACTATTAAACTGAAAGATATTCAAAAGTTCAAAAAGTGTTTCAATTTTCCTAGGAAATTCCATGTTCCAAACATAGACATAGGATTTGGGGAAGGAAAGGTGACATCAAGGTGTGCAGCATACTTACTCATAGCTTGAGTAGATCTCCTTTTGTCGGGTGTCATAAACTTGGTCGGCATCGCATGTTTAGCGAGCCCACACGTATATCCCGGGCCAGGAGCCTTAAAGGTGAAGTTCTTGGGGAATACAACAGTTTTATTACTCGTCCCAGCTTGACCAACACTTATTTGGAATGCACTAATAGAAGTTTCTGGATCCTGCACCCACGAGTTAAGGACTCCGCCGCGACAGCAATTTGCAACCTGCTTGTTGTAAGGAGTTCCTGGCATCAAATCTACGATTGTGGGGTCCCTCTTACAGCAATGAGGAATGTTTGTTTTGAACTTTGAACAGTCTCCTTGCTCTGTGGCTTGACCACCAACCATGTCCCATATTATTTCTTTCTTTGCCCATTTCCATCCCAATTTCCATCCGGGTGCTTGGATATGACGATACCTCTGGAAGTTGTTCACAGAGACCATAGCCTGTTGATGATTTACGGAACATAACATCAACACGCTGCATATGTGTAGTTTGATAGACCGTAAAACCATAATAACATTTAAGAGTAAATACGTAATATAAATATGTAATCAAACACTGTATATTGTTATATTGTAAATTTACACCATAAATGCATTTGATTACATATACATTTTATATTTTTATTACATATTACCATACTAAACCTGCATGTACAAGGGAAGCAAAAGTTCATCATGATTTTCTAGAATCTCACTGTCAAGAACTTAAGATCAAGGGTATTTGTACTCACAAGATATCCATCTGCGGTCCAGCTAATAATATCCCATTTTATTGTAATATTTCCATTTGGATCTAGCGGATCATAAGCATCTGCAAGGGGAAAAAATATATCCAACCATTCATTGTCAAGATCAAGAAATAGGGACATCAGATTTGCTGAGATTACTACATTTCAGCTTTCGCCTCAAAATGACTTCTTTTTCATACCCATATTACTCACCAGACAAAAACTACAAACTCATACAGTCCAATTCAAAAGGCTACGTTTTATATCTTCTACCATTTCAAACATGATTTAATTTACTAAAGTTCCAGGTCTATCTATGCACTCAAAAATGAAGGTATACCCATTCTGCGCCTGACACCAGAAACGAAACATAAACTAAACTTCAATGTTATACACTCTATTCCCATATACTCGTATATAAGACTCGTCACTTGATTGTTTAGTAACTTGAGTTGAAAACCTGGGGATGGAGAATACTTGTTTTAGCATAAATGAAGGAAATAATTGAGTTAATGAATAATGACAGAAACATGTTAAATTATGGTAATGCCTGCCAGCTCTGTTGCTAAAAGAACCACCAATGCAATTTAATATGCACTAGGATATTAGAAAACTGAGGTTAATGAAAGAAAATTTTAAATAGTTCCTTTCATAATAACATGCAAGAAGCCATTTTTTAATTGAACCACGGAAAAGACAATAGCTCAAGTATCCAAAATCCTTCAACAATAGCTCAAGAAACTATGTTTCCACAAATAAAGCCCAAATCCCAGATGCTCGTGGAAACTCATCGTTATTTAAAACAGGTCCACCGTCCATCAAAAACAAGGAAATTTTCTTCATGTCCAGTTTCACCAACACTTGAATACTCTGAAACCCAGAAATTAACCCCAAAATTACTTAGAACTATCCTTTGCTAAACATTTAAACACAATGAAGTCATAATCGGGTTTCACTTCTTGAAAAATGAACCCGTAGAAAAACGTTATATTTACTTATTTGTTAGTTCCTTATCCAAGATTATACTCCAAAAGAAAACAGAGAAACCCGTTTTCTCTGTTTTCTCCAATTCCACCCCGGAGGCATCAATGGGGATGACGATGATGCTGAGGACAGACGGGGCAGTTCGAGGAACTGACCTGTAGAGCTAAAGCAGATAAGAGAAGGCCAGAAGGCCAGAAAAATCGCATGGCTGATGAATCTTGAGATCGACCATGGTGATCCATTGCTGCATGAACCAGAGAGGTCCATTTTCTCTGAGGACACAAAAACGATAACACTCCAGAATTCAAAGAAGAAAAAATGCAAAGTCGCTAGCCAGAGGTTTTAAGTTTTAGCCAAGTGGTGGGGTGGGGTGGGGGCATATACCAAGATTTCGTGTAGGGTCTCTGGGAGTGGGAATGTGGCATTGCAAATGCGGAAACCCAATTTATGGCGTGGGGTGGAAGGGCAGGACCACAAGCTGTAAGGCCAACTGTGACCAGTAGTGTTATAATCTATATATAGCTCATGCTCACGAGCTCATCCTTGCCTTTTTTTTTTCTTTTTAGGCATCTCATCTCTCTTTTGTCAAGGTCATGTCCTCTTGAAACTTCTTCGTATATGAGAAGGGATTAAGACAAATACTACTAAAAAAACTAAAAATTGGACAAAAAAGTAACCTTTTTTTAATTCCCAATAATAAGACTAAAAATAGGTATGAGGACTGTTATACTCTTGTTAGGCTCAGCTGACCTATTTAGTGATCAATAGTACAATAATTAGTTAGTCCGTTACAATTACTCGATCCGGCAGTTACAGTTACCCGTATGGTCGATTATAATTACTCAATCCGCTAGTTACATTTACCCGATCAACGAGTTACGATTACTCAATTAGTCAGTTAGAGAACCTGATTCGTCAGTTACAGTTACCCTAGCAAGTCAATTACAGTTACCTGCTGACCCGCCAATTACAGTTACCCAATTTGACTAGTTATAGTTATTCAACTCGGTTGATTAATGTTATCGGGTCTCATAATGATCACAATCGACCACCACCTCCGGCCACCATCATCGACCACCACGGCCACCACCACATCCCAGCTCACTACCTCACCCAGCCCCCCTCTCATGCGTCACCTCAACCTCCTGCGTCACTCAGGCTGTAACACCGTCCCCAAGTATATTTACTTTTATTTAAATTATGTATTGAACCTTACGAAATGGCTAATGAATTTACGAGGTTGTAAATTTTTGGTTAATTCTTTTGCGTGAATAGTAAATTGCACGTGGGGCCCACACCGGGAGCGGGGACCACCTGATATTCCCGAGACCACATATTTTATTCATCTTGGTATAGATAATAGTTATATGGTGGTGTACATTCATGTTGGGCCATAAGAAAGGCATTGGGTTGACCGATTGGTCAAACAGGGCCCAATTACCGGTATTGGCAATTTATCAGAGAACAGCCCGAAATGGATTTCGGAGACTTCTAAATTAAAGTTGGGGAATGTATAAACATTCTAAAGGCCCATTATGATGGGAAGAAAGTGTTATATTTTATTTGACCCGATAAAATAAAATATAATTAAAACAGTCCGAGAAATACAACTTTCGGGACCGATTGTACACTTCGTGACTTAAAGGGGTGACCTCCCACATGCGTGGGGGCCAACCCATGACTTTAGTCACAAGAGCCATGTGTTTGGGCGGCTGAAATAGAGGAGGAAGATGGGAGATGTTTGGGGTTGAGAGAAAAGGCATCTAAGGACATGAGGTGGACCTCCCATCCACACTCATTGGTCCAAAGAGACAAAGAGACCATCCCTACTCTCCCCTCCCTCTCATTTTCGACCAAGCACTTTCAATACAAGGGAATAGGATCTGCAAACTCCCATCTCCATAGCCAAGAGAGCTCAAGAAAGCAAGGAGCTCAAGGAAGAAGAAGAAGTTGCAAAAGTAGAGAAAAACCTTGAGAATAAAGGTGAGAAGCTCCTTAACAACTTTTCTTACATCTTTTGATTTTCATATGACTTTTATATCATATGAAGTACCTTTAAGATTGTTCTACATGTTAAAAAGTGTGGAACAAGGGGTTGAAAGTAGTTCTAAGTCCAAGACGGACTTAGAAGCCAAAGGGACCGGTTCGCCGGAAAATAACCTTTTAGAGGTTATTTGTATTGATATGGATTTTGTGATGATAAAACCTTGTTAGGCACTTGTCAAAGGTGATTTAAGAGCTTTCACGAAGTTGAAAGAGTCGCCGTAGTTATCGTCGGAGTTCGTCAAAGTTTGCCGGAGTTTCATTGGAGTTCAACCGAGGAGGGTAGAACTTCATAACGCTCATTCAAGGTGAGTGGACGGCTTAATGTTTTATAACTCTTGGGTTAATTATGAGATTACCTAATTAAGTAAATGTTATATATGTGTTCATGATGATGTTTAAAAGATGCTTAAACATGTGATTAGCCAAAGTGATTAGGCTTATATGAATGACCCATTGATATCATAAATGAAGTATGACATGAAAATGTTTATAAAAACATATGTGATGTTTTAAAGGATAAAAATGGCATAAAATTCTTTGTTATAACTTAATACACGTTGGGATTAAGTTTGACACGAATCGGGTTTGAAATGGCGAGTCAACGAAAATGTTGACTAGGTTGCCCAGGGGGTAACCGGCGCCGGTTATAGACAAAACCGGCGCCGGTTATGGTTCGGCATGGCCGGTTTATTTAATTTAGTTAATAACCAGCGCCGGTTATGTCAAAACCGGCGCCGGTTTGGTGCTGTTTGCCTACATGTTGATTTTTAATGCATGAATTGCATGGATGATTATGCTTAGGCCTTAAGACTTGGTTTAGTCTTGATTATTGATTATGATATAGACCTTATCTAGGATGATATGTAGTAGATCATAAGTCGGGTGGAGTACCCGGGGATCGGGCGGTTATCCTCAAAACTCAGTTATAGGGTGGAGTACCCAAGGATTGGGCGGTTATCCTCAAAACTTGGTTATAGGGTGGAGTACCCAGGGATCGGGCGGTTATCCTCAAAACTCGGTTATAGGGTGGAGTACCCAAGGATCGGGCGGTTATCCTCAAAACTCAGTTATGGGGTGGAGTATCCAAGGATCGGGCGTGTATCCTCAAAACTCGACTATATAGGGTGGAGTACCCAAGGATCAGCGTGTATCCTCAAAACTCATAGATTACTATTTTGTAATTCAGGACCGGGCGGTATCCACATGTTAAGATGATTTGAACCAGGAGGATTCTTTACACTCATAGGTATATGAGTGGGTTGGGGTTTAAGTCAAGATATTGACTATACTATTTTCCCAAATAAACCATGACCTATGGGTCGGGTATTTCCAAGTGTATAGATATATTGATATGTATTTCATAACTTGGGGGAAAGAACTATATGTATATGTATCACCCTATGTTTGGGTCTTATACTTGAAACGTTAGTTATTCTACATTTAGCCTGCTACTCGCTCGGTACTTGTACTGACCCCTTGGGGGGGGCACCATTTCAGGTTGAAGCTCAAGCTTGCTATTCTCACCTTGCTCGGTGAAGTGATCTAAAGGAAGACGTGGTTGTGCTTCCTTTACTATATTTTAAAACTATAAACTATGCTCATTGATACTTTGTAATAAATACATTTGTTTTGGGCCTGCGAGCCCACGTTTTGGCCATATGTAGCCCATGATTGAATATTGAATATTTCCGCTATTCGTTCAATCCAAATATGTGATGTTGTTATGTATGTTTACTTACTGAGTGTGGTATGAACTATGTTCATGGACTGACACATGCGAGTGACGTCATTTAGTCATACGGCAGTTGTACACGTGCTTAGATGTGGTCGGTGGCGTGACACATGCCCCTCCCATGTGTCACCCCAGCTCCCTGGCTCACCAAGCCCCTAGCGCCTGCCCAATCGCATCGCACCAACACACCCGCCCCCAGCCGTCATGCACAACCACTCCCAACCCCAGATCTTAAAATGCAGGTGATCTGCTGCCAATTATTCAAAAATTGTCGCTGCCTTCCCTCTTCTTCGATTTTGTTCCGTCTGCGCTCTTGAATCCATAGGCTGGAGTTTGTGTGAAACTGTTAAAGCATTTGTCCACACCGGAAAGCTATAAAACAATTAAACACTATATAAGGCTTTGGGCTACTCCTCCTACCAGGTTGACCTTTTAGGATGGAACCCCGGGTCTTAACATGGGATCAGAGCCATTGCGGTTGTGGTTTGACGGCTTTGTTTAGCACCCGCGATTAAGGGTAGCTTGTTACGAGTTTGTTTGGCCCGTTTATACACCCCGATATTATTCAACCCAGTTCGAGCTGAGGAGGCGTGTTAAAGCATTTGTCCCACACCGGAAAGCTGTAAAACAATTAAACACTATATAAGGCTTTGGGCTACTCCTCCTACCAGGTTGACCTTTTAGGATGGAACCCCAGGTCTTAACAGCAACGGTGCAGAACATTTGAGGTGGAGGCATCATCCATGGCATTGTCATCCACGCTTCGCGTCATCGAGCCGCTAGTACACCCAAGCGCAACAAACCAATGGCAACAATAATAGGACAATAGCTGCAACAACAATATGGCAGACGGCGTGGGCATCTCGACAATAGCGCTACAACATTTAAAGGTCTTTTGTAACACTCAATTTCGTTACATTTGGTCCAAAAAACTGTTACATTCTTTTAAAGGTAACAGTTTAGTGTCGTTACATTCGCTCGCGTTACCTTTTCTCTATTGTAACAGTATGTAACAATTTTTAGAGACAATTGTAACACTTTTCTAAACGAACTGAAAGTGTTACCACAACCATTATCACAAATGTAACACTTCTTTATGTAGGCAAATGTAACACTTTTGCAAAAATATGTAACGAATGTTAGATTTCGTATCTAATGTAATTTTTAATGACGTGCACAAAAATTAAGAATAGTGATAAAATATAATAAATATAATTAACAAATATTTCATTTTATACATTTATAATCCATTGTACAAATCAATCTATCGAGTCTGAAATTTCATATTAACTTCAAGAACGATACAAATCATATATACAAAATCCTAAATTCTAATAAACTGAAAATTCTAAATTCTAATAAAATGCACATCAGTTGAAGCATCCACATCGTTTCTCGTCTAATTTCGTAAAGCGAGATCATCCATTATCTGGTTTCATTTGTTCCTCTCTATAAGAATGATTTCATAATCTGTACAGCAAATATTTCAAAACATTAGCAATCATATCAATTTCTACATTAGTATAGGGGAAGGTAAAAATTTGGATTGGGGTGATCACCTTATATGGAGTGCTAAACCTCGTTGCAGCCATTTGATTTGTCTACTCTCTAATGTTTGTGTTTTCTATTCTGCAAGTTTTCTAGCATCATATTTTTCAAAGTTACCTAATGTAATGAAAGCAAACCGGTGAGATTAATA